CACCTATTTTCATTTTTTTAATCTGATCGCTGGCTGATCCGTGTGATTAACAGGACGAGGTTGCTAAAGAGTTTAACATACCAGTTCAATTCCAGCGCTTTTGGCTGTGGGCAAAGCGGCAAAACCATACATATCGACCAAATCGACCATTGACACCCATGGAAGAAGCACAATCTGTAAATTCCTGAGCTTGATTGAAGTTTTTCTGTATTATTTTGCTTTCATACCCGCATTCGATCTTTATATCCATTTCTTGTTTAACCCACATATGTGTGTTGAATCTGTTTTATGCTTCATGTCTAATCAACATGCCAATTTTGTTAAATTCCTGGCTGATTTGCTTATTTTGGATTTGTATTTCTTAGGCTGGACCTGCAGTTAATTCTGTGTTGGCTTTGCTTTTAATCATTTCATTTCTCCCATGGTTGGGTAGTTGTCTTTTATTTCTGAAAATGAATAAGAAAAGCAACTGCTAAAGAATTTTTAAACTATTTTTTTGACCCTGAGGTTTGCTTTATTATTTGTGTTGGGGGTGGTGAATACTTCTATTGTTATTTATATCTCCCAGCTTTTGCTTAATTTTTGCCACGTATTTCTGTGCTATCTGAAGTTGTTCATACTTTTTTGTTGATCTGATTTGCATTGCAGGTCGGACAATTGAGAGAGGTATCAAACAAGGTTCACAATGCAGAGTTGAAATTGTTTTTGGAAGTGGAGCTTGGGCTGGTAACATTTGTATTTATGGAAGTTTTATTCCAATTTGATTGCATGAACGTGAATATTCAAATTCTGTCCTTCTGACAAACTACATCAATATTTAGGATTTACGTCCTATTGCACCACCTGACAAGACAAAGGATGATATATTACTTTTCTTCAAGTTATATGATCCTGAGAAAGAGGAGCTACGGTACTGAGTAATGTCTACATTTGAACTTCTGGTTTTTGCAAAACATGAATTTTTGTTGACATCCAACGTATTTCCCTCTTGTGGCAGTTATGTTGGAAGGCTCTTTGTGAAGAATACTGGTAAGCCATTGGAAATCTTGACGAAATTAAACAAAATGGCTGGTTATGACCCTGATGAAGAGATTGGACTATATGAGGTTTGTTTTTCTTCTCGTTTAATATTTTATCAGTTGTTAAACACCATGAAAATTTTTAAACTGCACATCATCCTTGTATGATCTAAACACTTTATATTTGTTTAATAACTACACTTACTGATGATTGATGATGCATAAAGTACATCATGTTCTTCAGCATAAGCCATATCTCAAGATCTGTTCTGCACGTACCTTTTTTTTTAACATTTTTTAGGTTCTGATCACAATGCGTTACTTTACCCATGACATTTGTAAATTTACCGTGTCTACTATTATTGTGCAGGAAATTAAGTTTGAGCCAAATGTTATGTGTGAACCTATTGATAAGAAATTAACATTTCGAGCTAGCCAGGTATTATAAACGCCATTGGTGCACTTTGTCTTACTATCTTTGATTGGTGTATTCATTTGTTTTTCTAAATTTGCAGTTAGAAGATGGAGATATTATATGCTTTCAGAAAGCTCCTGCTATATACAATGAGGAACATGTCCGCTATCCAGATGTGCCATCATACCTAGAATATGTGCACAACCGCCAGGTACTTTTCTTTTTCGGGTTCATTTAAAGCCAATCTGTGTGGATTGATGTGATGCTAACATTATCACCACCCAGCATTCAATTGTATTATGTTTCATTTTCTCCTCCTTCCTCCTCTGTCCATGCCTGGACATATCTGTCTGTTTGTAACCAATACACCATGTATTTTTCATTATGTTTTTACTCTAAGATGTTTGCTAGTTTTGTAATATCCAATTCATGTATTTTAGGTTGTTCACTTTCGGTCTCTTGATAAACCCAAGGAAGATGACTTCTGCCTCGAGATGTAAGCATCATGTAATCTATTGGAGAGCAAATCATTAGATCTAATATATTTTAGTTTTAGCGGAGACAACATGCAAGTATTTACTTATTATTTTGCATGGAATTACATCCTTACCATTTACTCTGAACATTAATTTATAGGTCAAGGCTCTATAAATATGATGATGTAGTGGAGAGAGTGGCTCAACAACTTGGTTTGGATGATCCATCCATAATCAGGCTTACGCCACACAATTGTTACTCTCAGCAACCAAAACCCCAGCCTGTTAAGTATCGTGGTGTGGAGCATTTGTCTGAAATGCTGGTTCACTATAATCAGGTAATCATTGACTTAATGCTTAATCTTTCTTTTTGTTTCTTGTTTAAAATAAAACATCTTATTTTCCTTAATGCATCTCAGACTTCGGACATATTGTACTATGAAGTACTTGACATCCCTCTGCCAGAATTACAAGGTTTGAAAACTTTGAAAGTTGCATTTCACCATGCTACCAAGGATGAAGTGAGTATATAGTCATCTGATTTTATTTTGGTTTCTATCTAGATTTTTTCTGACCCTTTTTTAACTGTTTATTCAGGTGGTTATTCATACCATTAGGCTTCCAAAGCAGAGCACTGTGGGGGATGTCCTTGATGATCTGAAAACAAAGGTTTTTTTGTCTTAGTACTGTTTAGTTCATTAATATGTATAAATATTATTCTTACTGACCACTGAAATCATATCCTCAATCTCCTTTAATTTAAAAAAAGGAAATACGTGAAGCATGTTTACTGTTTTTGTTGAGTGCTCCAGTTTGTTATTGAAGTGGTGACTCTTTTGATATAATTCTTGCTCATTTATTATTGTTCTCTCAGGTGGAATTGTCGTCCCCTGAAGCCGAGCTTAGGTTGCTTGAAGTTTTCTATCACAAGATATACAAGGTGTTGTGTTACCTCTATTTTAACTGATCGTGCATTTATTGTTTATTGTTTTATATTTTTCTGATCAAAATTAACAAATAATCGGAATTCAATATAATACTGAAGTTACTTTTACTTGTGATCTTGTAATTAGTTTTTACCCTGCCTCTCTGCTTGTGCAGGTTTTCCCTCCCAATGAGAAGATTGAAAACATTAATGATCAATACTGGACTTTACGTGCAGAAGAGGTAGTAGTCTCGTTCTTTTTTTGAGTGGGCTGGGAAGGGAGATGTTAGCTTTTAATCCATGAAGTGTTCCTGCTTTGATTTACTCAAATGATTGCATCAGTTGATTCTTCTAAATGCATAATCAATTATTCATTTCAGTTTGTGACAATATAAATGAGTTGCTGTTCTTGTGGTTTGCAGATTCCAGAAGAGGAGAAAAATCTTGGTCCACATGATCGCCTAATCCATGTGTATCATTTCACGAAAGATACGGCTCAGAACCAAATGGTATATAATTGTATTTGATCCATTTTGCGTAGTGCAGTTTGTAATATCGTGATGGCTTTGATACTTCATTACGGCTTTAGTTATATGCCAAATCATTTGTAATGTGTTTCCATTTGATTTGTTATGACAGCAAATTCAGAACTTTGGGGAACCCTTTTTCTTGGTCATACGTGAAGGGGAGACTTTGACTGAAATTAAAGTTCGAATACAAAAGAAACTTCAAGTTCCTGATGATGAGTTTGCAAAGGTATTTCCTCTTTTTTGTCTGTTCGGTGGTTATATTATGTCTCTTCAATTTTGGTTAACACTTTCTTTTGTTTGGTGGAAGTTTCATTGTCCATAAATATTATTAAATTTGATGTGAGTTTATCTAATTGTTTAATATATATTTTTGTTTGGCCAGTGGAAATTTGCTTTTTTTTCTTTAGGGCGTCCTGAGTACCTTCAGGATTCTGACATTGTATCCAATCGTTTTCAGGTACTCCCATTTATTGGCGAATTGCCTTTTTTTTTTCTAGCTGTGTTAATTGCATTCACTTTTTGTAACATTTGCATATGTGTGAACTATTGTATCTTGTGATATAGAGGAGAGATGTGTATGGTGCTTGGGAGCAGTATCTTGGCTTGGAGCATACTGATAATGCTCCAAAAAGATCATATGCTGTCAACCAGGTGAGTAATCTTGTCTACAAGAACTATTTTCTGAAGTACATTTTTTTCTTCTACTTATTTTTGTTGAGTTTGCTCACTGTTCTGGTAATACTGAAGTTTAGTTTTAAAGTTTAAGAAAACTTGTTTGATTACACACCATTTCAAATTTCTTGGGTTTTGTTTCAGAATCGCCATACTTTTGAGAAGCCAGTAAAGATTTATAATTAGAAAACTTGCGTGGGATGAATTTGGCATTCTTCTCCATCTATGGGCTTGTAAAAACAGGGAAACAGCAAAAGGCTACTCTGTATAGGCCAACTAGTGAGATCAGCAATCCAGGTGGTTTCTGCAGATTTTATATTAAAATTGTGGTATGTAATTCTTTCTGTCAAAAGGAGTGACATTGCTCTCAACACTATCTGCTGACCAAAGCCCGTTGAGCTTTACTACTTCCAACTGTGGAAGTTCTTCAAGTTGAGGTCATTGATCATCATCACTGCACTGTATCAGTACATAAGATTTTTGGATTAGTGAGTGTATACAGGGTATAGTTGGTTGACTTTTTTTTGTTTATCTTAATTGCTTCCAGATTTTGTTCAGTCAGTAGTTTTCAAATTAAGTGAGGGCTGTGGAATGGTGTAGCAGAGTTAATGTAATGTTGTAAAAGAGACTTGTCAGCCTCAGTATAACCCGATAGCATAAATATAGTTTCCTGCCGCACCATTCGGTCCATTTCCTTTGGCTGTCTACCTTTTTATTTTCTGTTTCTTCCTGCACCTCACCCATCTTTAGAACGGGTGAATAAGCGTTACCGTGGTAGTCTCATTTAATTTTAGAGTAGAANGTTGGGTAGTTGTCTTTTATTTCTGAAAATGAATAAGAAAAGCAACTGCTAAAGACTTTTTAAACTATTTTTTTGACCCTGAGGTTTGCTTTATTATTTGTGTTGGGGGTGGTGAATACTTCTATTGTTATTTATATCTCCCAGCTTTTGCTTAATTTTTGCCACGTATTTCTGTGCTATCTGAAGTTGTTCATACTTTTTTGTTGATCTGATTTGCATTGCAGGTCGGACAATTGAGAGAGGTATCAAACAAGGTTCACAATGCAGAGTTGAAATTGTTTTTGGAAGTGGAGCTTGGGCTGGTAACATTTGTATTTATGGAAGTTTTATTCCAATTTGATTGCATGAACGTGAATATTCAAATTCTGTCCTTCTGACAAACTACATCAATATTTAGGATTTACGTCCTATTGCACCACCTGACAAGACAAAGGATGATATATTACTTTTCTTCAAGTTATATGATCCTGAGAAAGAGGAGCTACGGTACTGAGTAATGTCTACATTTGAACTTCTGGTTTTTGCAAAACATGAATTTTTGTTGACATCCAACGTATTTCCCTCTTGTGGCAGTTATGTTGGAAGGCTCTTTGTGAAGAATACTGGTAAGCCATTGGAAATCTTGACGAAATTAAACAAAATGGCTGGTTATGACCCTGATGAAGAGATTGGACTATATGAGGTTTGTTTTTCTTCTCGTTTAATATTTTATCAGTTGTTAAACACCATGAAAATTTTTAAACTGCACATCATCCTTGTATGATCTAAACACTTTATATTTGTTTAATAACTACACTTACTGATGATTGATGATGCATAAAGTACATCATGTTCTTCAGCATAAGCCATATCTCAAGATCTGTTCTGCACGTACCTTTTTTTTTTTAACATTTTTTAGGTCCTGATCACAATGCGTTACTTTACCCATGACATTTGTAAATTTACCGTGTCTACTATTATTGTGCAGGAAATTAAGTTTGAGCCAAATGTTATGTGTGAACCTATTGATAAGAAATTAACATTTCGAGCTAGCCAGGTATTATAAACGCCATTGGTGCACTTTGTCTTACTATCTTTGATTGGTGTATTCATTTGTTTTTCTAAATTTGCAGTTAGAAGATGGAGATATTATATGCTTTCAGAAAGCTCCTGCTATATACAATGAGGAACATGTCCGCTATCCAGATGTGCCATCATACCTAGAATATGTGCACAACCGCCAGGTACTTTTCTTTTTCGGGTTCATTTAAAGACAATCTGTGTGGATTGATGTGATGCTAACATTATCACCACCCAACATTCAATTGTATTATGTTTCATTTTCTCCTCCTTCCTCCTCTGTCCATGCCTGAACATATCTGTATGTTTGTAACCAATACACCATGTATTTTTCATTATGTTTTTACTCTAAGATGTTTGCTAGTTTTGTAATATCCAATTCATGTATTTTAGGTTGTTCACTTTCGGTCTCTTGATAAACCCAAGGAAGATGACTTCTGCCTCGAGATGTAAGCATCATGTAATATATTGGAGAGCAAATCATTAGATCTAATATATTTTAGTTTTAGCGGAGACAACATGCAAGTATTTACTTATTATTTTGCATGGAATTACATCCTTACCATTTACTCTGAACATTAATTTATAGGTCAAGGCTCTATAAATATGATGATGTAGTGGAGAGAGTGGCTCAACAACTTGGTTTGGATGATCCATCCATAATCAGGCTTACGCCACACAATTGTTACTCTCAGCAACCAAAACCCCAGCCTGTTAAGTATCGTGGTGTGGAGCATTTGTCTGAAATGCTGGTTCACTATAATCAGGTAATCATTGACTTAATGCTTAATCTTTCTTTTTGTTTCTTGTTTAAAATAAAACATCTTATTTTCCTTAATGCATCTCAGACTTCGGACATATTGTACTATGAAGTACTTGACATCCCTCTGCCAGAATTACAAGGTTTGAAAACTTTGAAAGTTGCATTTCACCATGCTACCAAGGATGAAGTGAGTATATAGTCATCTGATTTTATTTTGGTTTCTATCTAGATTTTTTCTGACCCTTTTTTAACTGTTTATTCAGGTGGTTATTCATACCATTAGGCTTCCAAAGCAGAGCACTGTGGGGGATGTCCTTGATGATCTGAAAACAAAGGTTTTTTTGTCTTAGTACTGTTTAGTTCATTAATATGTATAAATATTATTCTTACTGACCACTGAAATCATATCCTCAATCTCCTTTAATTTAAAAAAAGGAAATACGTGAAGCATGTTTACTGTTTTTGTTGAGTGCTCCAGTTTGTTATTGAAGTGGTGACTCTTTTGATATAATTCTTGCTCATTTATTATTGTTCTCTCAGGTGGAATTGTCGTCCCCTGAAGCAGAGCTTAGGTTGCTTGAAGTTTTCTATCACAAGATATACAAGGTGTTGTGTTACCTCTATTTTAACTGATCGTGCATTTATTGTTTATTGTTTTATATTTTTCTGATCAAAATTAACAAATAATCGGAATTCAATATAATACTGAAGATACTTTTACTTGTGATCTTGTAATTAGTTTTTACCCAGCCTCTCTGCTTGTGCAGGTTTTCCCTCCCAATGAGAAGATTGAAAACATTAATGATCAATACTGGACATTACGTGCAGAAGAGGTAGTAGTCTCGTTCTTTTTTTGAGTGGGCTGGGAAGGGAGATGTTAGCTTTTAATCCATGAAGTGTTCCTGCTTTGATTTACTCAAATGATTGCATCAGTTGATTCTTCTAAATGCATAATCAATTATTCATTTCAGTTTGTGACAATATAAATGAGTTGCTGTTCTTGTGGTTTGCAGATTCCAGAAGAGGAGAAAAATCTTGGTCCACATGATCGCCTAATCCATGTGTATCATTTCACGAAAGATACGGCTCAGAACCAAATGGTATATAATTGTATTTGATCCATTTTGCGTAGTGCAGTTTGTAATATCGTGATGGCTTTGATACTTCATTACGGCTTTAGTTATATGCCAAATCATTTGTAATGTGTTTCCATTTGATTTGTTATGACAGCAAATTCAGAACTTTGGGGAACCCTTTTTCTTGGTCATACGTGAAGGGGAGACTTTGACTGAAATTAAAGTTCGAATACAAAAGAAACTTCAAGTTCCTGATGATGAGTTTGCAAAGGTATTTCCTCTTTTTTGTCTGTTCGGTGGTTATATTATGTCTCTTCAATTTTGGTTAACACTTTCTTTTGTTTGGTGGAAGTTTCATTGTCCATAAATATTATTAAATTTGATGTGAGTTTATCTAATTGTTTAATATATATTTTTGTTTGGCCAGTGGAAATTTGCTTTTTTTTCTTTAGGGCGTCCTGAGTACCTTCAGGATTCTGACATTGTATCCAATCGTTTTCAGGTACTCCCATTTATTGGCGAATTGCCTTTTTTTTTTCTAGCTGTGTTAATTGCATTCACTTTTTGTAACATTTGCATATGTGTGAACTATTGTATCTTGTGATATAGAGGAGAGATGTGTATGGTGCTTGGGAGCAGTATCTTGGCTTGGAGCATACTGATAATGCTCCAAAAAGATCATATGCTGTCAACCAGGTGAGTAATCTTGTCTACAAGAACTATTTTCTGAAGTACATTTTTTTCTTCTACTTATTTTTGTTGAGTTTGCTCACTGTTCTGGTAATACTGAAGTTTAGTTTTAAAGTTTAAGAAAACTTGTTTGATTACACACCATTTCAAATTTCTTGGGTTTTGTTTCAGAATCGCCATACTTTTGAGAAGCCAGTAAAGATTTATAATTAGAAAACTTGCGTGGGATGAATTTGGCATTCTTCTCCATCTATGGGCTTGTAAAAACAGGGAAACAGCAAAAGGCTACTCTGTATAGGCCAACTAGTGAGATCAGCAATCCAGGTGGTTTCTGCAGATTTTATATTAAAATTGTGGTATGTAATTCTTTCTGTCAAAAGGAGTGACATTGCTCTCAACACTATCTGCTGACCAAAGCCCGTTGAGCTTTACTACTTCCAACTGTGGAAGTTCTTCAAGTTGAGGTCATTGATCATCATCACTGCACTGTATCAGTACATAAGATTTTTGGATTAGTGAGTGTATACAGGGTATAGTTGGTTGACTTTTTTTTGTTTATCTTAATTGCTTCCAGATTTTGTTCAGTCAGTAGTTTTCAAATTAAGTGAGGGCTGTGGAATGGTGTAGCAGAGTTAATGTAATGTTGTAAAAGAGACTTGTCAGCCTCAGTATAACCCGATAGCATAAATATAGTTTCCTGCCGCACCATTCGGTCCATTTCCTTTGGCTGTCTACCTTTTTATTTTCTGTTTCTTCCTGCACCTCACCCATCTTTAGAACGGGTGAATAAGCGTTACCGTGGTAGTCTCATTTAATTTTAGAGTAGAAGTAATGCATCGATATATGGGTTATTATAACCACATCTGCCTATTCCTTCATTTCATATTTTAAACCTTGTTCGACTTAATGAAAATAGTATAATCTGGTTTATATAGCAGTTAATTTTTCTGTCCATCCAATGCAACGAAAGAGTAAATTGATAATGGGTATCCTTTCTCTAAGCCAGATTAAATTCCCATGTGTAGTTAGAAATATTTTCTCTAATAGTTCATTAAAAAAAAATACAAGAGTTGCAGTATGATTAGTCCTTCACAATTTAGATTGAAAGTAAAATCAGTAGCTGTAAACTGGTTAGTGCTGACTCACTTTCAGCTACCCGGGATGGTTTTATTGCAGCAGATTTTTCTGTGTAGGTTTTGGAATTGTGACGGCTGGTGATGTATCAGCAATTATGGTAGAAGAAAACATTCGCAGTTATGGGGTGTTTTTGCACTGTTAAAAGCTTTTGTTTGTTGTATCCATGGATTTTATTACTACTATATTATAAAATAACCTATTATAAATAATATTTTTAAAAATATATTTTTACTTTTATTTTGTTTTTATAATTGATGTGTGAACAGTATTCTCATCATAAAGCAATTCACGCCTTACTACCCGCTGTACAAGACAGTACGTAAAGCTTCTCAACCATAATTTTCATTTTGATTAAGACAACAATATTAGACTATGGAACCTTATGTTGGTCTTTTCATAATCAAATTCTCAGTACTGAAATTTAATTGTGAAGTTTTTTCTAACTATATTTAATCAAACTTACCTTGTTACTAATTTTAAAATGATTAGTTGATTTTTTTTATCTAAGAGGTGATTGAATCAAAATTTGTGGGTTGAAATCATGTGTAACTGTTATGTTTTTCCATTAAATTCCCTCTATACTCCATTATATTTATGTTATGTTAGTAGAAAAATTATCTTTATTTGAAACTCACTTCAAACTTGCATTTTTTTTTTCTAAGGAAGAGTTGAAAATGAAGAGAGGATATGATTGGTGCAATTATAGTGATGGGTAATTACATTCCAAAAGTAAATTCAATAAGTAAGAAATATCAAAGACAGACTTTGTCTTATGCCGAAACTTTTGCAAAAACTATTTTTTTATGCTAAATTTATGGTATCTCTTATATATTATTTTTATCTTATCTTTATTTTAAGTTAGTTTGTTATTATTTTTTATTTATATTTTAAGTTTAATTAATTTTTCTAATATAAATACAGTATTTTATGTGTATATTCAACATAAGAAAATTTAAATATATATATAGTTTTTATTATATTCAACACGGTATTAGAATCTGATTGTCTAAGTTTCTTCTAACATTATTGCTACTTTCGGTTGATGATTGTTCTAAGAATTTTGTCTTTCAACACTTGTGTCTGAGTATCTTAGTCATGATATCTTAATGTTAGTTCTTTACTGTGTCTTTTTCACTGTTGTCCACTATTTGCTCCTCTGTCTATCATTGTTCCTTGAGAGGGAGTCTATTTCTTGGTGTTTTAATGAATGAAGGACATTTATTGAAGAATAAGATCTTCCACCTTCACTATCTATTATCAATACACTGTCATTTTCGTCGTTCGCCTTGAGAGTGAAGTTTGTTTTTATGTAGCTCAATTTAGTTCCTGTAGTCTATCGTTGTCCGTTACAATATGCTCCATCCATTATTGATGACAATATAGTTTCTGTAGTCTATCATTATCCATCACTAAAGGCCACCAGTTGTTGTTGATGACAACCTAGTATGTTATAGTTTGTCGCTTTTAATCATTATTGGTCGTCATTCACTACTGATGTAATTTCCTTTGTCAAAGTCATCTTAGTTGAAGTTTCGTGGTTGTCCATCATTTCCAATATTATTCTCTACAACTTTTAGGATTTCTCTCTCGTGTTCATCAATAACTTATTTCGCTGTTGTCTCTTCTGTCACTAGTTTGACTTGTCCATATATGTTTTTTTTCCAATGATAAAGGCGATTTTTGTTAGTTATTTTATAGCCATGATGACTTTTCAACAATTACCTATTTTTCCACTGGATGTCAACAATGTGTTCCTTAACAACGATTTGCAAGAAGAGATTTATATATAGTATACTTATAGATTTATTACTCAGGGGTGACATTTTGGATTGATATTTTGTCTTCTATGTTGTCTTCGTAAATTGTTAATAATTCGGTATCACTTGAGTGTAGAAGTAGATATTTTCACTAAGTTTTTATTGATTGTATTAGTAACAAGCTTAGTACGTACGATTTGTATGCACCATCTTGTGGGAGAGTGTTAAATATATTATCTTTATCTTTTATCTTTAGCTAATTTGTTATTCTTTGTATTTGGGGCTTAACCCATATTTCTTCTATTATAAATATAATATTCTACGTGTATATTCAATACAAAAGAGATTAATCCCATATATAGTTTTTACTATATTCAACATTCTCAATTTCATACCTTATTCGAAGTCTCATTCCAAACTGTCACACATATTAGTTTGCAATTGTCATTTCTATTACAAAATCTCATATATAAATCAAATATTTGGGATTGGTTGCAACCAAAATTCATATTTCATGCATATGAGATTAATGAATTGGGTTCTATTTTCATACTTGATCATCTTCCAATATTTCTTACTTTTTCCTTCTTACACTTGTTTGTTGTGCAACTATAGGACAAATTTTTCTTGTCAAAAGCTCATGCCTTATCAAACCTTCACTAAGGTTTGATCCTTATTCCATGAATTCTTGAAACAACATAGCATATTGCTGCAAGTGGTATCCACAATTACAAAAGGAAAAAAAATTATAATCTTCTATCATACTTCTAAAAAAATTAAAGGAAAGGTTAGGTTTGACTCTAGGTCAGGTCACATGATCGATCTCAACCTTTCGTTCAAATGTTTTAGAGGCATAATAGAGGACTATCATTTTTTTTTCTTTTGTAATTGTGGATGCCTAAAGACTATTATTGTCATAAAATATTCACGCATTACTACCTGTCGCGGTGAGATAGACCGAAAAACTTCTCAAGTATAATTTTCTTTTTGACAAAGACAACCATGTTAAACTATAGAACCTTACCTTCGTCTTCGTCTTGTCATAATCAAATTCCCATATCACAAAGTTAATTGGGAAGTTTATTTTAAATACATTTCATCGAGCTAACATTGTTATGTTGTTACTAATTTACAAATGATTAATTAATTCTATTTATCTTTGAGCATCCTTGAATCAATCAAGGTTTGTTTAGTTGACATGTTATATGTTATATCTATGTTAGTTGAAGCACACTTCAAAATTATATATACTCTGAACTTCTACATATTTTTTTCTCTCTGCAATGAAACAAAATTGAGAATTGAGAATTGAGAATTAAGGTGGATATGATTGGTGTTATTATTAAAAGTAAATTCATTATATAAAAAAATATCAAGGAAGGACTTTGTCTGATGGTGGAGATATTCGCCACAAACTGTTATTTTCTTGCTCAATTACATGTTGTCAATATTTGAAGAATGAACATAAATCTTAATTTTTTTGTTTGTTTTTGTTGGCATCGCAGAAATCTAGTCTAAAAACAATGGCTTGTGATGAAAAGAAAGGTTCTTCGACAATAAAAATAATAATTTATGTAATCAAATGTTTTAACCACTAATTATTTAATATATGTAACTTAATATATATATATATATATATATATATATAATTTATTTTAATTTTAGTATATTTTGTATACATATCATCTTCAAAAATATTGTATATTTATTTTAGCAACTTGTAAAAATAGTGGACATCGATAACTTTGATTTAAACTTTTACGTAAATTAGAAGTTGGAAAATTGTGACACAATATTTTCGTTCTTTGGAAGTTTCTACAATAAGAGTTAGGACCACATTCATTTGATATTCATAGTGAGAATAAGTAATATTAATATTTTATTTTTAGTTATATATTTCACCACACATGAGGCGAACAAATATGGTTAATTATGTATTTTTTAGAACTTTTTTTTTTCTCTCATATTGTATCACGCTTGAGTACACGGTTCGAGGTAAACTCAAATTATAAATGGATGTGATTGAACTTTTTGTGTTAATAACTTGTGTATACGTTTATAGTATGCACTCTTTATTTTAAAACTGATATGTTAAAGATGAATTATTTAATTATGTTTCTCATAAAGGGGTTCATTCCTCACTTGCAAGAATAAAAATCACTTTTGGATGTTTGGGAGAGTCTCTTGAGGTTGCTAAGAGTGTTAGAAAACTCTCTAAGTTCTCCTCAGGTCTTTTTCTTCATTCATGAT